TTTATTATTTATTATTTATTAACTGAATTGAAATATTTTATAATTTTTCCTCTTAGAAAACTTGTAATTCATGCAAGTAGAGTTTTTCGCGCAGTGTATTAGAGAGCGAGCGTGCGCATAGCGTAGAGAGCGAGGGTCAGAGTATGTTGTAGAGAGAGAGAGAGAGAGAGAGAGCTGGAGAGCTGGAGAGAGGCAAACAAAAGGAATTGCTTGAGAGCTGGCCTTTTGTTTTTGCCACTGTTTGGCATCAAGGGGGGAGGGAGATGAAGACAGGAGAGAGAGGAGTTGACTAAGTGGGTGCGTAGCAGTATCTATATAGTTGTGTGTGTATGTTGTGTACGTTTGTTTATTTGTTTGTTTTGTTACATTATTTTTGGAGGGGGAGGCCGTGGGGGGCTGAGTAGAACGCGAAACCAGGCAGAGGCTGCAAAGACAAAAGCCGAGAAATTCAAAAATCACGCGCTGCAAACTTGTTGAAGAAATATTTGTGCAGCCGCACATGTTTTGTGTGTGTGTGTTTGTGTGTGTGTATGTATGTTTGCGTGTATAGGTGTGTAGGCGTGTGAGGATGCTTAACTCTCAGCTGCGCTTAAAACCTGCGGCGGTTGCTTCAACTAGCAAACGGGTCAAATAAAGACATTGAAAGGTTGGGGTACAAAGGGGGTACACACTCATGTGTATGAATAAGTGTGTGTGTGCACAAGTAGCTCACATACACACAAATTCATATACATGTTTAAGCATATATTGCAAAGCGCAACATGTTGATTTAACACGTGTTCCCGTCCCACGTATGTGTTCACTGTGTGTGTGTGAGTGTGAGCGAGCGCGAGTGTGTGTGTTGTAATTACTGCATGTCGAGGAAAACGTAATTAATTAACTCTATGCTAATTGCAATTTGATTGCACAAGACAGCAAAAGGGGTGGACGCATTTGCCAACACACAAATTCGCCAGTTGCTAAAATCATTTCACTGGCATTTTACTCAAGTGTTGGTGAAATTAAAATTTATGTTTATTCAAGCTAAAGTTAGTTGTGCTGACATACGTTATATATACGTATATCCTGACTCATCCCATATGCTCATAAGTTAGTCTGATGCACTTCTTGTTGCAAAACTAAATAAAGTTTTCATTAAACTTCAAGTTTTGTTCATTTCGATAAAAGCATGAAGCACAAATATTTATGAATAATATTATTAAGAAATCCATTTTTTTGTCCTGCCAGGAATTTTATTAAGCAAACTTATTTTCGCCAATTTTTAATGTAATGAAATTGAGTCTCAAACAATCTTTTACTCATTCTGAGGCATACCATGTAAATATATAAAAAGCTTTAATTTTATTACTATTATTAACGAATATTTCAATCGTAAAATTGAAACTTTTTTAAGCAAATAGATATTGTATTTTTTAAGGGTATATATTTATAATAAGACTAATAT